ACACCGTTGGCGAAGGAATCTACATAGAACCTCTTAGGCTCGACATTATGGGAACGGAAGCATTCGTTGATCTCAGAGATGTAAGCACTTCCCTTACGATCCACATCGAAGGCAGCAAGCTGCAACACTTGGGCGCCGGACTTCTGAGCCAAGTTAGTAGGAGCATCGAACACCTTAACAACAGTGTTTCGAGTAGCCATGGTCTCGTCAATGAGAGTCTGGTAAAGCTTCTGTACTTCAACGGATCTCTCCTGAAGGAATCGAGGGGTAGCCACAAGCTGGAGATCGGTCTCATCCATCATGTCCTCGAACTTGACACTGGAGTCAAACTGTTGTTTATCAACAACAAAGACGCCAAGAGGGAACTTTCCTTCAGGCATGGGAGGCTTCTCAGACTTGAGGAAGGTGACCGAGAAGCCACAATCCTGAGCAGTGTTGATGTACTCGGCAACCTTGGCATCAGTGATGGCGACCTTCTCAGGCTCCATAGTGGTGAGATAGAAAGCCGAATCCGCATCCTCAATCTCGAAATGGATATAGTCAGACTCAGTAGCCTGAGCAACCTTCTTAGCAGCGATAAGGCAATGAAGGTGTCTGGCAATCTGAGCACTGGTGAAGTGCTTGAAGTAGCTGGGGTGAAGGCCGAGCTCAGCAAAGTAGTAAACAATCTCTTGCCAAAGAGAGCCGGCAGCGAGTACACCTTCCTTGATGATGATAGAGAAGACCTGAGTCATCTTAGTTTCCAAATCCTCAGGGGTCAGAGAGATGTTAGTGTTCTTCACCTGCTCCTTCAAAGCTTCCTCATTCTCAGGGGAGAGATAACACACACCACCGTCACACTTGAGGTCGAGCTGACTGAGCACTTCCTTGATGTCGTTGTGCTGGTTCACCACGGCATCATGGATAGGAAGCATGCCGAAACGATCAGTCTTCAGCTGAGCTCCTTCACCTAACAAGTAGATGATAGCCGCCATATGACCACCAGCAGCAGCCAAATGAAGAGGAGTCCTCTTATCATAGTCT